TATGGGGATATATTTCAAAAAATTGCAAGTTTAGAAGAGGTGGTAATTGTTCATGAGGCTGAATTTGAAAGAAACCCTACACTTCAAAGCAGACAAAGGTTACAGAAGGAGCAAGCTGATCTAATTAGATATTTAACTATTGAAGAGGAGTTTTGGAAGCAGAAGGCTGGCATGAATTGGTTCCAGGATGGTGATAGGAATACAAAGTTTTTCCATGCACAGGTTAATGGTAGGAGAAAGAGACTACAATTAAACAGAATTAAAGACGCAGATGGTAACTGGTTGGAGGACAATGCAGACATGGCAGATGAGGCAGTAAGATTCTTTCAAAATCAGTTTCATGAGAATACAATTCCTACAAACTTCAGGATTCTGGAGTATGTGCCTACTCTAGTAGACAGTGTACAGAACTCTAAGTTGATTCAGCAGCCTACAGAGGAGGAGATCAAATATGCAGTTATGGGGTTAAGTGGTGAGAGTGCAGGGGGTCCTGATGGTTTTACAGGTGCTTTTTATCAGTCATGTTGGGAAATAATTAGGAATGAGGTTGTGGCTATGGTGCAGGCCTTCTTCAATGGACATGAATTACCTAGGTATATTACACATACAAATCTGGTGTTACTACCAAAGAAGAAACAGGTGGAAACTTTTTCAGATATGAGACCAATCAGTCTCAGTAATTTTGTTAATAAAGTTTTTTCAAGAGTAATTCATGAAAGGTTAGTGGAGATGCTACCAAACTTGATCTCTGAAGAACAGGCTGGTTTTGTAAAAGGGAGAAGCATAGTGGAGAATATACTATTAACTCAAGAGATAGTGACTGATATTAGACTAAGAACCAAAGCAGGACCTAATGTTGTATTGAAGCTGGATATGATGAAGGCTTATGATAAACTCTCCTGGTTATTTCTATCAAAGGTCTTAAGAAGAATGGGGTTTGGTGAAAGGTTCATTGGTTTGATTTTTGGAATTGTATCTAACAATTGGTATTCAGTACTAATCAATGGGCAGCCTAATGGTTTTTTCAAATCTACTAGAGGTGTGAAGCAGGGTGATCCTTTATCACCTACTCTGTTTATATTAGCTGCAGAAGCTATGTCAAGGGGTTTGAATGCACTACACAGTAACAGGCAATTTAAGAGCTTTGGAATGCCTAAATGGAGCCCTAAGATCAATCATCTAGCATATGCTGATGATACAATCATTTTCACTTCATCTGATTCTAACTCTTTGAGGCTCATTATGAATGTACTTAATGACTATGAAGCTGCATCTGGACAGCTAATTAATAAGAACAAGTCAGCCATATATATGCATGAATCAGCTGAGGCAGAAGTGGTTGATAAGGTGCAAAGGCTTACAGGAATTCCTAAACAAGAGTTTCCATTTACATACCTTGGATGTCCAATTTTTTATCTAAGAAGAAGGATGAATTACTATAAGGACATCATTACTAAGGTCATGGACAGGCTACAGAATTGGAAAGGTAAGCTATTGTCTATAGGGGGAAGGGCAGTGTTGATTACAAGTGTGCTTCAAAGCATGCCTATACACTTGTTGTCTGCAGTAAACCCTCCAACATATGTGCTTAACAGGCTTCATAAGATCTTTGCACAGTTTTTTTGGAGCAATACAGTAGGTGTTTCAAGTAGGCACTGGGCTTCTTGGAACACCTTATGTTTACCATGTGAAGAAGGGGGTGTTGGATTCAGGTCACTACATGATATCTCTACTGCATTATTTTGTAAGCTTTGGTGGAATTTCAGAACAAAACCAAGCTTGTGGAGCTCATTCATGAGCCAAAAATACTGTAAAAAGCTTAATCCTATGGTGGTACCTTGGAGAGATGGCTCACATGTTTGGAGGAAAATGTTAGGGTGCAGAGATCTAATTGAACATCAGATTTTATGGCAACCTAAGATGGGATCAGCTTTATTTTGGTTTGAGAATTGGACAGGATTGGGTGCTTTGTATTTTGTCACTCCACCAGATTTTATATGTGATGAATCCATTCAAAACATATATGATGTGGTAATGCATGGACACTGGAATGAAGAGGTAATCAGAAGGATACTACCAGAAGACTTAGCAGATCATATTTTGCAGAATTTGAAACCTCCAACATTGGACAATGAGATTGATAAGCCAGTATGGATGCTAGAAACCAAAGGGGAATTTTCAGTAAAATCAGCCTGGGAGTATGTGAGAAGAAGAAGTCACCCTTGTAATGCTTATAAAAAGATTTGGGTGAAAGGTCTCCCCTTTAAGATTTCATTTTTTATGTGGAAGCTATGGAGAAACAAATTACCTCTGGATGATTTCTTTAGAAGGATAGGATACCTTATGGCCTCAAAATGTTGGTGTTGTGCTGAACCTAAAGAAGAAACAGTGCAGCATCTGTTTTATTCATCAAAACCAGCTGCAACTGTTTGGAAATACTTTTTGGGAAGTGCAGGGATAGTTACAGAAGGGATTTCATTGCATCAAGCTGTGATTAAATGTTGGACTGCTGATGTAGTTCCAAGGCTACAACCTATTTTGCAAGCTCTCCCATCTGTGATTGTTTGGGAACTATGGAAGAGGAGGAATAGTTTCAAATATGGGGAAGCTGTTACAGTCAGTAGAGTCATATACCAGATTTCTTCTACTATGCAGTTTTTAGTTAAAGTTAGGATGCCTGGGATCCAGAATATTCCACATAAATGGCTTGATTTACTTAGAATGATGGCGAATTACACACCATTGTTGCAATATTCTAGGGTGCTATGGGAATTTCCTACTGAAGGATGGATAAAAGTTAATACTGATGGAGCTTCAAGAGGTAATCCTGGCAACAGTGCTATTGGTTATGTATTGAGAAATGAAGAGGGGGATATCATATATGCTTGTGGTAAGAGAATAAGGGAATGTACAAACACATATGCAGAAGCAATGGCAATGTTGGAAGCAATGAGATATTGTGTTCAAAATGACTATGTGTTGCTTGAAATAAACACAGACTCAATGCTGCTAAAGAAGGTGGTAGAGGGGGAGTGGTCCATTCCATGGAGTGTTGCAGCAGAAGTTGAAGAAATAAAAGAATGGATGAACAGGAGTAATGTCATTATGTCTCATACATATAGGGAAGCAAATAGATTAGCTGATCATCTAGCTAATTATGCTTTGGATTATGGGGATATTGAGGCATACAATTTTTGGGAATTGGATACTCAAGGAAGGAGAATTGTGAATGATGATAAGTCAAGATGTCCATACATAAGAGTAAAAGTTGCAGGAAAGTAGAAGGAGGAGGGACAACAAGGTGGAGAGCTGGTAGGGCAGCACCTGGAGTTAAGAATCTAGACTGTTATACTCAAATCAGATATGAGGAGAGTATAACAGTCTATGTGCATGAAAGTCTTAAGGGGACAGGAGTCAAGAATCAACTATGTGGTCAAATTCTTTTGAAGAAGACCACAGAAAAGTCTTTTTTAACTAACATTGTTTGTTGTTTTGCGGGAACAGGTTTTATACTCATGTTGCATACACTGGTAAGTCATTTATGGGTGGTATTAGCATTTGATGCTCATTCCCAAGATGAAATATCAATGTATAACAACATGAGTGGATGGAGGATCAACAAAGGAAACACTAACTACTGGAACAAGGCAGTCAAGAACCTGCTCAAACTAAATATTCATGCAAAATCTACAACAGAAGAGCAGGAACAATCTGAAGTATACAAGACACAAAACATAATCACATGGATTCAGACAAAGAAAAGGGAAACACAACAATATACTATAAAATACCAAATCCAACTCCTTTTGTTGGAGGAAATGAAGGTTATACAATTTGTAGTAAGGTCATTATTGAAGGATAAATCAAGGATATGGGCTTTGCTACTGGTCTATGTTGTAATGGAGACCTTGTTGGTGGTATTAATGCTTAGCATTCAGTCCAATGGGTTAAAATTACATATAGGCTGTAGCATAAGCACATACATCTCAATAACACAAGTATTTGCATCAAAAGGCAACAAACAGTGTAATGTCATAAATGCAGTAGGGATGCGGACAACAAAATTCCTTTCAATTTTAAAGGAATATTGTTGGATGAAGCAAAAATGCACTCAAACATTTACACATCAACAGGAATACATCATACAAGATTCAGGGTATCAATCACTCATCAGAAAAGCATATCCACAGGCAAAGCAAAAATTCAAGAAAGAAATTTACATATACCAGAAAGGGAAAGAGAAGAATGTTACTCTAAAAACATTTTACAAAATCTTCTCGCACATGCAAGGAATTCTGAGCAGCAATAATGACAATCTGAGCAACATAGCAGCACTCCTGAATGGAAAATCGGCATGCACCACTATCAGATTTGAAAGGGGAAGAATATTGAGCGACGCATGCATTCTGTCAGCTGGACGAGCTCTCACAAGAGGTGATAGATTCCATTCACATGGAAAATGGTCAATTCTTTGGGAAGCAACAGCATCAAGGTATGGATTAGGAGTGATGGAGAAGATGAGTGGGAGGAGTGAAGACAGTAGAGCAAGGTTTTATGGCAAAAGGGAAAGGGTAGAGAGAGATGGGCGATACGGTAGAGAGAGAGTGTCTGAAAATGAAATGAGTCTAAGGATAGGGATGAGGGATTTTTGTGGAGTCCGCATTCAAATGTGGCCACTGATGCAAGAGAGGGTTGTACATGAAATAGGTTATAATTTTAAGTACGAATTAGAAAGGGGGGTAATGAAGAGGCTATCTGTGCAATTAACTGGCCACGTGAGGTATGATTATTTGTGGCTATAGGTGCAAGGCAGAATTAATGAGGGCCTGGGCTGGGGATTTTTTTGGGACAGTATTTGGATTGGGCCTATCTGGGCTATTAAAATTTGGGGCTGGGCAGTGACAATGTTGACAATGTGATATAATAGAGTTGGGTCAATTAATATTTGGCCACATGTGCAAATTGATAATGGGGAAGCTGATGGCTATTGTTGCAAATCGCTGGACATGGGCTTGCTGGGCCAATATGAACGGTATTTTTGGACTGGATCAAGGAATATGTTATCTCATGGGCTAGTTTATTTTGCACTATTTAGTAGGTGTTATGTCATATCAATTTTGAGTACATTTCTCAATTTTGATAATAGGACTTATGTAAAGCTCAATTTTTATTTTGTACAATTATTAGGACTCTATGACATTTTGTTTTCCTTTATTTTGTTTTGTATAAATAAAAACTAGCCCTGGGCTATGCCTAGTGGATTTTGCAAAAAAAAAAAAAAAACCCGAAACCCCTAAACCCAAGAACAGTGAGGAAATTTTTCCACCCCAGCCCTAACCCTCTGCCTTCTCTCTAGAAAAAGAGGCGATTAGAGAGAGAAAGCAAGCTGCCGCCTTCTATGGCCTCGCCGGCCACTGCCCATCCTCCGCCGGAGGTTGGGCAGTCGTCTACTGCACCTACGACCACCATACAACCAGCAACAGTCCCAAACAACACCCTAAATTACGCGCAATTACTAAAACCTAATGCATTAAATGCTGTCATGCAGCCTACGTCGAACCTAACCCTAAAACCTATCGAGTATCTTCATGGAGAACCAATTGTTCGATGGAAGAAGCAAGAAGTAAGGCAGTCCATTGATCAACAAGGTTTAAACATGGCAGTGCTTGGTAAGTTTTCATATGGCAAGCCTGGGATTCATGATCTACGTAAAGTTTTGCCTATTCAATGTGAATTAAAGGGTCCATGCTCAGTTGGTTTAATTGAGGATAGTCATGTATTGATCAAGCTCTCGTTAATGGAAGATTATGTTCACTTGTTATCAAAGCCTGCGTATTATTTGAAGATTAATAACGAGATGTGGCAGATGAGGTGTACTAAGTGGAATCCATGGTGGAAGGTTGATGAAGAAACTCCAATTGCTATAGCATGGATATCGTTTCAAGATTTACCTCCAAATTTCTTTGGAAAGGAGTTTGTGTTCTCCTTAGCTAGGGCAGTAGGGAAGCCATTACATGTGGATTTGGCTACTCAAAATGGTACAAGGCCAAGCTGTGCTAAGGTTAAGGTTGAGGTGAATTTATTGGCAAACTTACCTCAAAGTGATGGCGTCGTGCCGCGACGTTAAATCAAGCGCTTGTTGGGAGGCAACCCCAAAATCTATTTTTTTCTTTTTCTTTTTATTGTTGTTTATTTTTTTTATTATGTTATGTTTGTAGTGTTGTTTTTGTGTTTTGTAGGAGTAGGAGCATGGAGTCAAAGCCAATAAGCGACTGCAAAAGCGAGCAGGTGTTTGAAGCTAAGTGTGAGGTACCCGCACAAGGGATCATACTTGAGAGAAGTCTGAGTATCCCATGAGCTGCTAATACTTCGCCCTTTGGCCTATCAGGGAGTCTCTTTTACCCTATTGTTATTTTTAGTGTGCTTTGAGGACATTGCACAATTTTAAGTGTGGGGTGAGGAGATTGTTTGGGTGAGATTCTGTGATATCTTAGCTTAGTTGTAGTACTCGTTCTTAGTATAGTAGTTTTTTGTGACTAAAAAAAAGAAAATTGTACTTTTCCCGACGTATAGATCTCTAAAACNAACTACACATAGACTGTAGCATAAGCACATATATCTCCACAACACAAGAAATTGCATCAATAGGCAACAAACAGTGTAATGTCACAAATGCATTGGCCATGCAGACAACAAAATTCCTTTCAATTTTAAAGGAAGGTTGTTGGATGAAGCAACAATGCAAACACAATTACACACAACAGCAGGAATTCATACAAGATTCAAGGTATCAATCACTCATCAGCAAAGCAGGGCACTATATTCACAATGACATGATACACAGAAAGCAAGCTAATTCTTGGTGTCAATTGGACACACAGACTGCAGACAGCAAATTTCTCTATTCAAGAGAAGCTTGCTGGATGATGCACATGCATAAAGAAAAAGCTAAGGGCAAGGGACAACTAGAATTACTACATACATGTATTTGTCCTACAAAGTTCTACAAGATTAGGAAGGTTACAAACTCGATTGGAGCATCAAAAAGCTTTTCCACAAAGGCAAATCAGGGAGTTTCAGCTATCTATGACTTCTCGACTGTTCTGGGTCAGCATTGGGCCTTCGCAAAGATTGCAGCAGCTACGAGAATTCGTATTATGGAGCAATGTCAGTCCAGCAGAATGGAGCTAGTGGTCTCAGCAACATGCAAGGAGAATCGAACAAGAAATGTTGGGGGTAAGGATACTTGTTACAAAAATGAAGTAGACAAAATAGGAATTGAAAGGGAAATACAAGGAATCGATGTTGCCTGTATGAGTTACTACCAGATGTGGATGACTGAAGGGTCGCATCTTCATAAATCAACAGAAGTAGATAGGGGTGTGTATCTTCAGGTGCTAAGTATGCGAATCAACACGCAGATGATGGTTACATCTTTGTCGATTCAACTGAGGGATGGAAAATCTACATGCACCGCCATCAGATTTGGACGGAGAAGGCTGGGGAGCACATGCACTTACTCAGCTGGACAATCTCTCACAAGTTGCAATAAGGTGGAGACAGTGGAAAATAATTTAGGCACAAATCAGTTAGATGCAGCAGCAGAAGGGTATGGAGTGTTATTGATGGAGAAGATGCACAGAAGGAGGAAAGTCAGTAGAATAGGGCTTAGCTTCAAAAGGGAAATGGTAGAGAGAGAAGGGCGATATAGTAGAGAGAGGATGTCTGAAAATGAAATGGGCGAAATGATAGGGATCTGTGATATTTGTGGTGTCGGTGGTCAAATGTGGTTAGTAAATGCAAAGTTTAAATTAGGAGAGGGAATTGGGATGTACTGGTGGCTAATTATGCAAGTTGGTAAAGAGATTGGAATGGGCTGGGGAGAAGTACGATTGGGCCAAGATCTGAAACTGGGTTGTCCTAGGAAATGGACAGTATTGCTGGGTCCAGTACGCTGGACTGTTTCTTTATGCAATGGGCAACTATCAATGTGGCTATATTTGCAATTTATGGAGATTAGAGTCATTGGAATAAGCTGTGGCTATTTCTGCAAATCAGAAGTGTTTTTTGATTGGGCTGAAGCATGTCAAAATGGGCCAGCAGACGCGGATCAGAAACGCATACAATATTGGACCATTTATTGGGCTAGTTTTTATGCAATTTTTAGTAGAATTTTTGTGATATCAATTTTGAGTACAATGCTCAATTTTGATAATAGGAATTATGTAGCATTCAATTTATATCTCGTACATTTGTTAGGACCCCATGACATTGTGTCTATT